TCCTCAATGTTTTGATTATAACAAATAAGATTAATATTGTTTCCAACAATTGATTTTGAATGATGATAATTCAATGTTTGTTTACTAACATGTTTAATTCTAGTGATTATAGTTTTTCAAAGCATACTATGAAATTGATCGATGGTCGTCAAAAGATCAAAGTCTATTATCACAAATCAGACTTATAGAGGAGGTCAAGATCAAAGTAGCACTCGAAGATCAATTACCAAACATTGCATCTTCTTGGGAAATTCATTGATATCGTGGAAGTCCAAAAAGAAACATACGGTATCAAGATCTTCTGCTGAAGCAGATCATAGGTCAATGGCTGCTGCTGTCTGCTAATTAAGTTGGCTGAAGAACTTGTTAAATGATTTAAACATCAAACAATCCAAGGCAGCTCTTCTATTTTGCGACAATCAATCTGCAATTCACAAAGCAAGTGACCCGGTCTTTCATGAAAGGACAAAACATATAGAGATTGATTGCCATTTAGTTAGAGACAATGGTCAAGCACATGAAGTAAAAATGATGTATACATCATCACAAAGTCAGGTTGCTGATTTGCTAACAAAGGCTGTAGGTGGAACAAGATTTAAACTTTTGCTATGCAAGATGGGAGTATTGAATATATACTCTTCATCTTGAGGGAGAGAGTTAAGCCATTTAGTTGAGGTTATTTATATAATTGTGTATTAGATCTTTCATCCATAAGGCGTGAGTTGCTAGCTGCACTTGTATGTGTGTGTGTGTGTGTGTTGCTGAAATCATTTGTAATTAAGAAAGGAATTCAACTCAATCATTTTTCCCGCCATTTCCGCTCTTCATTCCTTTGCAATTCTTCGCATCTCTTCATAATCTACAGTTCTGCTTTTCTTTAAAGATGGTTACAGGACAAAAAACATATGTTGATATATTTTCATTTTTTTTTACTTATTTTATTATTTAAAGTCTTAAACTAAAATTTGTTAGACTAAAAATCGATCCAAAACAATTATGCGGAAACAATTGGATTGAAAAAATTGAAAAATTTCATGGATCAAGTTCATACCTTCAGCTACTGGTGTTGTTCCAGAAGCTCTTCCCTTTGTTCCAGATAATAGTGCTTCCAAGCTCTCAACAATCTAAATTGATGGTGTATAATGTGTATTTTCGATTGTGTTAGAGCTTAGGGACCAAACCCCTATATATAGAGCCAAGCTCCCATCAAGCTATGGCTACAGTTACCCTCCAATTGACGGTGAAATGAATTCCATTAATGTTGGTGAAATGAATTCCATTAATGCTGATTGAAATCAGTAAATGTTGAAATCGAAACCATGATTCTCCACTTGGTCCATACATTCAACATAATGTTTCAACTCATTCCCATTGATTGTCTTTCCTTTAAAAAAAAAAAAACACATGAATCATGGCGATGAGTCCTCTAATAACGAGTATTCTCTTCCATGTATTATAGTGTATTTAGTTTCTTAAGAATTATTCTTTATGTGGTAAAAATACTTAATGAAAAAGACCTATGTCTTATTCTTGGTCATACAAAGATGTATTTTCTCAAATAAATTATGTGTGCATGAATATGAGAAAAAATCATAATAAATAAGAGTTTCTTACAAAAACTGTATATACCATTACATAATAGAACCAAGTTTCATTTTCTCTACATGATCCTTGAATTTCAATGGTAGCATGCCTTTAGTCAAAGGATCAGCAATCATCAATTCGGTACTTACGTGTTCAATGACAACTTTCTTTTCTTTAATATGTTCCCTTATGATTAAATACGTAATGTCGATATGTTTATTTCGACTACTACTTTTGTTGTTCTTAATGTCGATATGGCTAAATAAAATTTATCATATTAAGTACAATTAATTACAATTTAATGTCTTTACTCTTTACATGATCTTAAACTTAATATATAATTTTACTTAATTAAAGATGTTGTGGCTAATCCCCAATTAAATAAAACTATATGGATCACTAGACATTAACTATTTATGCATAAACGATGAACTCCATATGAGAATAAGTCTATTTGCACAATATTAACTACCGTGTTATGATTATGCACAAAATATTCTCGTAAAAATTATAAATTGCATAAATAATTTAAAACATAATCCAATTCATCATAAAATTGCATATGTTAATGTTTAGAATAATATATGCAATTTTATGATGAATTAAATTATGTTTTAAATTATTTGATGCAATTTATAATGTTCATGAAAATATTTTGTGCATAATCATAACATGTTAGTTAATATTGTGCTATTTGACTTCTCATATGGAGTTAATCGTTTATGCATAAAATAGTTAATGTCTAGTGATCTATATAGTTTTATTTAATTGGGAATTGGCCACAGCATCTTTAATTAAATAAAATTTATCATATTAAGTACAATTAATTACAATTTAATGTCTTTACTCTTTACTGATCTTAAACTTAATATATAATTTTATTTAATTAAAGATGCTATGGGTTGGACCATTAATAGAGAAAGAAATGAATATTTTACAAAAGTCACTGTTACAAAATCAAAATATCAAAACCGTAGTCTCTTCCTCTCTTCCACATGAAAATGAAGTAGAACAAAAGCTCTCAAATTAGAGTCTACCTCTTATTTCTAGCATCTTCGCCATCTCTTTATTAGTTTCTTAACTCTGTCACGTCATCTCAGGCTTCAAGTGTTTCTTCTTCTACAATGTATTAAAATGGGTAGAAGTAGGGAATA